GCTCGATGTCAGCTCATGACCTGATCCAAAGGCAGACACTTATCCAACTGAGCCACCCAGGCGCCCCTCACAGGTTTTAACCGTCATTAAAACTACCTTTACTGACTCTGTTTCTCCCCCTTCCCCCATACAACCTCTCTGTCTCTGTCTCTCTCTTTCTTTCTTGTTTTCTTTGTTGTTTGTTTTCAGACCCCATTTTGATTTTAGTTCTTGTCCAGACTATTTCCCATTGCTGGCAGCAGTGAGTGGCAATTGGTTTTATGGCCTGTTTGTTGATCTCTTAACAGGGTGATGGGGATCTGTTCTCTCTCCAGGGGGAAATGTGGGCAACTCTGATTTGTTCGTTTCCTTGTTGTTGTTTTTACAGTTTGCTTGCCTATTTGCAAGCTCAAATCAATTAAGAAAACATTGAGAGAATTAAGAAAGCATCAAAAGGAGAACAGCCCATTGAGGCTGGTGGGTTTTGGTGTTTCTTGGTTTATTTTGGCACATGGCTGTGGTTGTAGAACTGAAGCTGAAAGTTTGCAGTATGTCTGGAGGAGTCTAAAATATTGTCCTACTTTGTAGTGTGTTAAAAAGTTAAATTGTAATAGGTCATAAATTTAAGGTTTGTTTTGATTGGTTTATCAGACGTCATGGGGCATATATAAATAGAAGGAAACAAAAAATTTACAGGAAATGAAGAGATGGAAGTTCTAATAGTTTCAGCATACTAGCCTTTATTTATTTATTTTTTTTTAAAAGATTTTATTTATTTATTTGACAGAGAGAGATCACAAGTAGACGGAGAGGCAGGCAGAGAGAGAGAGAGGAGGAAGCAGGCTTCTTGCTGAGCAGAGAGCCCGATGTGGGACTCGATCCCAGGACCCTGAGATCATGACCTGAGCCGAAGGCAGCGGCTTAACCCACTGAGCCACCCAGGCGCCCCAACATGCTAGCCTTTAAAAAGAAAAAATTAGTTTACATAAACATGAGTTTAGGAAGATTTTTTTGAATAGTTACTATTTGTTTTAACAGCTTTATTGTTACATAATTTACATTCTGGAAATGCACCCATTTAAAGTGTTCAATTCAGTTAATTTTTGCATATTTAAAGAGTCATGTAACCATCAGCATAATCAGTTTCACTCCCCATCTGTGCCCTCCCTACCCCAGCTGTCGGCCAACACTGATATACCTCATTCTTTCTAGATTGGCCCATTTGGGACATTTCGTATAAATAGAATCATGCAATATGTGGTCTTTTGTTAAGGACTTCTTTGACTTAGCCTAGTTTTTTTTTTTTTTTTTTAATTTCTTTTTTTAAGATTTATTTATTGGACAGAGAGAGATCACAAGCAGGCAGGCAGGCAGAGAGAAAGAGGGGGAAGCAGGCTCCCTGCTGAGCAGAGAGCCAGGGCTCCATCCCAGGACCCCGAGACCACAACCCGAGCTGAAGGCAGAGGCTTAACCCACTGAGCTACCCAGGCGCCCCTAGCCTCGTGTTTTTGAGGCGTATCCATGTTGTAACATGAGTCAGTACTTCATTCTTCTCGGTGCTGAATAACCTTCTGGTGCGTGGAGAGGCCATGTTTACTTCTCTGTTCAGGGAACATCGGGGTTGTGTCTATTTTTTTTGGCTCTTTTGAATAATGCTGCTATGAGCATTTGTGTAGAACTTTTTGCATGGATGTATGTTTTCATTTTCTGGGGTGTCTACCTAGGAGTAGAATTGCTGAGTCACATGGTGATTGTCTAGACTTTTGAAGAACTGCTGGATTCTTTCCGAGGTGGCTGCACCATTTTACATTTCCAACCATGGTGTGTGGGGGTTCTAATTTCTCTACATCTTTCCCAACCTTGTTATTTTCTGGGTTTTTAAAATTATTATTATTATAGCCATTAATTTCTTTAATGCCTAATGAGTTGAACATCTGTGTTTGCCTATCTTTGGAGAAATGTCAGTTCCTATCCTTTGTCCATTTTTAAATTGGTTGTTTATCTTTTTATTATTGAGTTGTGAGGGTTCTTTATATAGAGGTTTCTAATCAGATATTATTTGCGAATATTTTATTTGCGCTTTCTTTTTTTTCTTTTCTTTTCTTTTTAGTTATTTATTTATTTAAAGTAATCTCTACACTCCACATGGGACTCAAACTCAGGATTCTAGAGAGTCACATGCTCTTGCAACTGAGCCAGCCATCTGCCCCTAGTTTCACTTTCTTGATATGAATTACTCTTTACATTTTCGCTTATTTCTAGTACTTCCCCGAAAAAAAGCCCACCCGTGGATTTTCAAATTTCTTGCATTCTCTCTCTTTCTCTCTCTCTTTTTTTTTTTAAAGATTCATTTATTTGTTTTATAGAAAGTGAACACACACAAATGGGAAGGGTAAGGGGAGAGGGAGAGAGAATCTTGAGCAGATTCTGCACTGAGCACAAAGCCCAATGCCGGACTTGATGTCACGACCCTGAGATCATGACCTGAGTTGAAATCAAGAGTCAGATGCTCAACTGACTGAGCCACCCACGCGCCCCTTGAGTTCCCTTTCTACCCTTTTAGTTACTTAATTAAAACTTTATACTTAGTTAACAGTTATTTATATTAAATTATTTCTGTTGAAATAAACAGTGTGGTTTCTGACCCTGATCACATCCTGATACAAATGGTATTCTTTTGTGTTTTTGTGGGGTTTTTTTTTGACATAATGTTTGTGAGGTTTATCCATGTTGATGCGTGTAGCTGTAGTTCATCTCCATTTCCTTGTACATTCCACTGGTGGGGCTATTACAGTGATGCTGTTGCAAGCCTTCTTGCAGGTGCTTTTCGGTGATCATGTGTGCATGTTTCTGTTAGGTGTGTAGGTTCCTAAGAGCGAAATTGCTGAGTCATGGGGTAGATAAAAATTCCACTTTAGTAGATAATGCCAATTTGTTTTCCGAAGCGATTGTACCTGTTTACACTCCTGTCTGTAGTGTGTGAGGACTCTAGGTGCTCCTTATCCTCTCCCACCAGTACTTGGAATTGGGAGTTTTGTTCATTGTGGCCACTTTGGTGGGTGTCAGCTTCATTTATTAAGTCCTTCATCTTCCCACTGTCCTATGATATACCACCTTTGTCATAACAAGAGCCATAAATGGGGCACCTGGGTGGCTCAGTGGGTTAAAGCCTCTGCCCTCGGCTCAGGTCATAATCCCAGGGTCTTGGGATCAAGCCCCATATGGGGCTCTCTGCTCAGCAGGGAACCTGCTTCCCTTCCTCTCTCTGCCTGCCTCTCTGCCTGCTTGTGATCTCTGTCTGCCAAATAAATAAATAAAATCTTAAAAAAAAAAAAAAACAGGAGCCATAAATGTATGGGTCTGTCCCTGGACTCTGTTCTATTTCATGGGTCAGCCTGGCTCTCCACTGTCACACCATCATTATGTTTACTATAGCTTCACGATAAGTCCTGAATTGTAGCAGTTACATCTTATTTTCCTCTTCTTCTTTTTTTCTTTCCTTTTTTCTTTTTTCTTAAGATTTTATTTATTTATTTGACAGAGAGAGAGAGACAGTGAGAGAGGAAACACAAGCAAGGGGAGTGGGAGAGAGAGAAGCAGGTTTCCTGCTGAGCCGGATATGGGGCTTGATCCTAGGACCCTGGGAATAGAACCTGAGCTGAAGGCAGATGCTTAATGACTAAGCCATACAGGTGCCCGTCCTCTTCTTTTTCATAATATCTGGCAACTCAGGGCCATTTACTCTGATTGATTGATTGATTGATTGGGGGGATAAAGTGCAAATGAGAGCACAGGAGCAGGGGGCGGGAGAAGTGGACTCCCCACTGAGCAGGGAGCTCAATATGGGGCTTGATCCCTGGGTCCTGGGATCATGACCTGAGACGAAGGCAGGGGTTTAACCAATTGAGCCACCCAGGTACCCCTTTCTTCTTCTTCTTCTTCTTTTTTCCAGAGAGAGAGTGAGTGGGGTGGGAGGCAGAGAGAGAATGTTAAGCAGGCTCCATACCTGGCATGGAGCCCGACACGGGGCTTGATCTCACAAGTCTGAGCTCATAACCTGAGCCGAGATCAAGAGTAGGACATTTAACCAACTGAGACACCCAGGCACTCCTCCCTATGGTTTTTAAAATTTTTCATGGATTTTTTTTTTAAGATTTTATTTTAAAGTAATCTCCATAGCCAGCACGGGGCTTGAACTCACAACCCCGAGATTAAGAGTTGCACGCTCTACCAGCTGAGCCAGCCAGGCACCCCAAGAGATAGTCTTCATGGATTTAAATGCATCAGTCCTTTCCTTTGTGGTTTCTGAGTTTTGTGGCAGACTTTGACAGTTCTGGGCATGTTTCACTGTTACCTGTAAATGTTGCCTGTGAGAGAGAAAACAGTAGCTGCTGCTGCTTTTCTGAAAAGCTGCTAGGATCGTAACAAATTAGCTCTCAAATAGAAAATTGCCTTCTTCCTGGCTTCTGAACGTGCCGTATGCCTTCCTGCTCCCAGGCTTTGTTGACGCTGCTTCCTCTGAGCTCTGCTCCCATTCCTGCACATTCCTCCCGCCTGCTGGTCCTGCCCTTCCATACACAGAACACTTCCCTTGTCCCATCCTCTGTGTCCCATCAAGTCAGGCCCATGCCAGCTTGGAAACCAGTGAGGCTAGACAGGTTCTGTCCCCCCAGCAGCGGGCGTGGATCTCTCCCTTTCCCTGGAGTGAAGGGGCTGTAGGCCTGTGACATTATTGCAGACTGAGGGGTCAGGACATGAGGAGGCTTGTTTCTAACCCGGTCCCTGCCATCGTACAGAAAGTCTTTTGGTGTGACAGTGGCTCTGCAGAGTGCCATGTGACCTTGATGCAGAACATGTGTAGGGGCGCCTGGGTAGCTCAGTGGGTTAAGCCTGTGCCTTTGGCTCAGGTCATGATCTCAGGGTCCTGGGATCCAGCCCCCTGTCGGGCTCTCTGCTCAGCAGGGAGCCTGCTTCCCCCCCACCCTCTGCCTGCTGCTCTGCCTCCTTGTGATCTCTGTCAAATTAAGAAATAAAATCTTAAGAAAAGGAACATATGTGGCTAGCGCTCTGGGGGTCCTCAGAGGACGCCCAGAGTCTGCCCTACTCCCTGGTCCCTCCCTTCGGACTGGCTGCAGTGAGTGGCCCTCTATCTGGGGCGGGGGTTGAGGGCATGGTCAGACTAGTCTGCCTCAGTATTTGAGCCTGGTCAGGACACGTTTGGGGCTGGCTTCACCTGGAGTGGAGATCAGGGACTCGTGGGGCTCCATCTGGAGGCAAGAGAGGGGATGTTTCATGGGCTTCTGGCCAGGGCCTGGAGCTGATGTGGGGAGAGGCTTGTGGTAGTTAGACCCTCCTTGTCCAAGACACAGTCCACAGTCCACTTAGTGCTCAGCACTCCCTTGGTTCTGATCTCAGACCTCTGCTTTGTGCTGTGGTTGACTGGCTATGGGTGACTTTAGGGAAGGCGTCAGGATCGCACCGGGCCCAGCAGCTGCTCCCCAACCTTTGTTGGGGTCTGGTGGGATGTTTGTAGCTCAGGTCCGAGCCCTGTGGGGGATCTAGAGGCTGGGATCTAGCCCTCCCTCTGCCCCAGATCCACTGGGTGACTTCAGCTAGTCCCTGCCCCTCTTGGCTATCTGTTCATTGAACCAATATTTCTGTTCTTCTTGTGCCTCAGGCGCTGTGGTCATTGTTACACACGAATGATGGGGACAGAGATCCCAGCCCTGCCCACCTTGTGTGCAGTGTGAAAACTGGTCATATAGTTGAACTGACCCTGCAGGGGCAGAGGGCACAGCCCAGGCCACACATGGTGGCTGCCTGGAGCTGATCTCAGGGAATCCCTTAAACCCGTCGGTCCCACCTTCAGCTGGTCCCACCTTTAGCCAGAGCTTCTGGGAGGCACCTACCTCCCTGTTCCCAAAGCCTCCCTGTTCTTCCAAGATCACCTGGCTTTCCAGGAGCATTGAGGTGTCCCTGGAGATCCAGGCTCTAATCCTAAAGGCTGGGTGACCTGACCCTGGTCTTCCTGGTGCCACAGAACCACTCCACAGAGATACACTGTGGTGATTCCTGAGGGTCCTCCCCACTTGGGCCTCTCTTTCCCCCAGGATTGTTTTCTGCAGCACTTATGTCTGCCCCCGTCCACACTCCTAGTCTGGTCTCAGGGGAGCCTTACCCCAGCTGGGAGTGGGGGAGGGGTCTGGGCAGCCACTAGGGATAGGAGAGGGCAGGAGGTTCTTTAGGGACTAGAAGCTCCTCTATTTCACCCCAGCAACAGACACACAGACCCAAAGCAGTGCTCAGACTTCTATTGGAGACTCTGCCTCCCCTGGGTCCAATTTCCAGCCTACATGCGTCTTCTGGATTATACTCCTGGTGGAGTGGCTGGGCAGGGCACAGAGGAGGGGTCTGGCATCCTGTCCTGAGAAGGGACCTTGGTGAGCTTTGTGGCAGTGGCAGTGGCTGGGAAAGAGTGGTCATTCCCTGTGTGGGGGTGCACGTGAACTTGGGTCCAACAGGACACAGGGCCTGTCCTGTGGTGAGCAGCCATGAGGCCAAGCTCCTGAGAAGACAGTCCTCTCTTGGGGTGGTGGGAGGTCATGGTGGAACACCTGTCTCACATTGGCTTTGCACCCCTTGCCTGGCACTGTGCACTCTCAGCCTGTTCCTCCACAGGGAGCTGGGCCCCTAGCCCCTCAGAGGGAGGATCCCCTGAGAAAATCCTGTGGGGTCACGGGCATGGAGCATAGTGAGTGTGGGGAGCAGGAGAGTGGAACAGGGGCCTGGGGCTGGGGGGCTGGGGTGACCTAATCGTCCTTGTCCTTGGCCCCATGCTTGAGGATGCGGGTAAACTCCACGTAGTTGAAGTTGCCTTTCTTATCAATGGGTGCCTCTCGGTACATCTCGTCCACTTCTTCATCTGTGAAGCGGTCTCCCATGGTGGTGAGTAGCTCCCGAAGGTGGTCCTCGTGGATAAAACCTGGGGGCAGGGCCAGGGCCCATGAGATAGGGACTCAGGCTGGGACATCCCTCACACCCTCCCCCTGTGGTCCGACAGCAGTCCTTGCAGTGAGTCTCCGGCTAGTTCAACTCTTCAGGGCCCCAGAGGGAGGGGTTCTGCAGTGTTTCTGTGGGGTCCTTCGGCCTGTGAGTGTGTGGGCTGGATATGTCTTACTTTGACCTGAGCCCTAGAGTTCCACTGCCCGAGTTTGCATGCTCATCCCCTTTCTTGGCTGTGTGACCATAGGCAAGTTATTTAACCTCTCTGTGCCTGTTTGATCTGGAAAATAGAGATGAAAATATGCCACCCTGATAGGGGACCATGAAGGTGGTCAGGAAGATGTTCTGATTGGGCCTGTGGGCACTGAGAAACTTCTGAAATTGGTGCCAGGGTCACTCTGGCCTGTCTCTGGGACAGACCAGCTGTGGGACAGAAGTCCTTTGTGAGGTCTGACGATGGGGGCTGGTTTTTGCACCTTATTGGCCAGAAGGGCCTGGAATGATTTGGTTTCTGGGGAGGTCTAAAATGGGGGCATTGTGCTGGGCCAACAGGTAAACGTGGGAAGCCTTGGTGGATATGGGCTGTTGTGGACTAGCGTCTGGGGGAAGGGAACAAGGACACATCTTAGTTTTTCTAGTTGCAGCGATGGAAATCCCAGCAGATGGGGGATTTCTGTTCTGGCTTTTGGGGACAGGGGCCCTGAAGTCCCAGCGCAGCCCCACTTGCGTCCTTGGGGACGCCCTGGGTAAAATACTCAGCCCCAGCCCTGTCCAGGCCTCCAGCAGGAGGCTGCTGACCTGAGGCCTCCTCGTCGAAGCAGGCGAAGGCATTTCGGATCACGTCCTCAGGGTCTGTGCCGTTCAGCTTCTCCCCAAACATGGTGAGAAACATGGTGAAGTTGATGGGCCCCGGGGCCTCGCTCATCATGCCCTCAAGGTACTCGTCGGTGGGGTTCTTCCCTGTGGCAAGTGGGACATTCCTATTGTCACTACCCTGTCCCTTCCCTCCTCCCTGCCCCATCCTTTCCTGGCCTGTGAGAATCCCACAGGCAGAGACGATAAGCTCTGTAAACTGTAGAGCGTCTGGCCAGCGTTCTGACTGCTCCCTCCCGCGGGCTCTCCAGGCTGCTTTGACCAGTTAAGGCCTCTGGTCCTGATATCCATGCCCTCCCGGGTGTGAGGGCTGCCGCATACTGACTGCCTGCGGCATCTGCGGCCCTGCCTGCCTGTCTGTGTTAACTTTAGCCATGTTGCGAGGTCACCGCAATGCCCCAGTCACATCTGTGTTGCAGGATAGCTGGGAGATTTAAGACACTTGTGCTGCTCTTGTTTGTCAACTGGGGTTGATGTTCCTACCAGAAGGCCACGCCTGACCTGTGGCCCCACCGACAAGAGCTACAAACAGGAATGAAAGTTTTTCTGAATAGAAGCCCAGGGTCCCACGTCAGCCCCCCCAACTCAGGGTTGCCCAGTCCTCCCACTGGACTTCCTGGGCGTGTACATGAGGGCCTTGGTCACCACTGCACAGGAAGGGAAATGGGCAGAGTAGGGTGGCCCCACTGTGCGGGGCAGGGCCAGGGACTCCCTCAGGCCTGTCTGGCCTCAGTGCTTGGGGCTTGACGAGCACAGGCTGCTTCCTCTTCTGCCAGAGGCTTCTCTCTCCCAGCCAGTGTCTCATCTGGTTGAAGGGTCTGCCAGGAACTGGGGGTCGGGGTGGTATCTGTGATGAGCACAGGGGAGGGATATGGGGGTAGGGCCACAGACTGGGGGTTCCCATCTGAGCAGGTTCCTGAGCCCTTTCAGCTCTAAGATTCTGATTCTAGGGAAGTGGCCGGAGTCAGAGAGGCTCTAAGGACCTGGCATGGGTGACTTCTAACAGAGGGAGGCACTCTGGCTTCCCCTCCAGCCTCAGTTCTCCATCTGCACAATGGAAGGTCTGTGCAGTTCCAACTTTCTTTAGTCACTCATCCTTTTCTTTAAATGAAGTAGAACCAGGCAGCCCAACCACGAATCTGCCTGAGGCAGTCTGGCTCCGGAGTGAGCCTGTCTGGGTTCAGATCCAGTGCCCAACTGCTCCATGCCTCAGTTTACCTATCTGTTAAATGGAGAAAGTACTGGCATCTGCTTGCCAGGGTAGGTACGACATGTCCCTACATGGAAAGGACTCCATATGCGATGAGCAGCCCACTGCCTGTTCCAGTTGCAACCCTCGCGGGACCCACTTAGACCCCAGCCACCCGATCCCTGCTCACCCAGTGAGGCCAGCATGTCATGCAAGTCTTCCTTGTCGATGAAGCCATCTCGGTTTTGGTCGATCATGTTGAAGGCCTCCTTAAACTCTTGGATCTGGGACTGGTCAAACATCGCGAAGACATTCGATGTGGCCCTCTGTGGCCGCTTCTTGGTGGTTTTGGCCTTGGCCCGCTTACTGGACATCTTGGCTTCAGGTGGGTGGGGCTTCCCTGCAGGAAGTGGGTGTGGGGGGAAGAGCCTAGGACCCTGGGCCAGGGGATCTTCCTGCCTACTTAAAGCCTGGCTGTCAGTGCCTGGACCTGGCATTCAAGGCCTCCCATAGGCTTGGGGCTCCTGTCACCCAGCTCATCAGAAAAGCAGACAGGCGTGGGCTCTGCGATCATAAACAACTTCTCTACCTCTCTGAGTGAGTTTCCTCATCTGGGAATGGGGACATGAGGAATGCCCAGCAGCAGGGAATAATTCGTGCCAGAGAAGCCCCTGGAATGGTGCCAGGCACAAAGTAAGCTATTTTTGCTGTGGCTGTTTGGGTAAGACACTTAGGATTGGATTCTGTGCCAACCTGTCCTCGCTTTCTCTCTTTTAATTCTTTATAGCATTTACATTGTCCATCTCTCTCCCTCCAAGTGAGAAGGTGGGCTGAAAAGTGGGAGGCTGTGAGGTTCCTGCCAGCTCCCTCTGCCCCCAGCAGAAAGGAGCTGGATCAGTGGCCCTGCATTCCTGACATTCTTGTCATCTCCTCCTCCTCCTCCTCCTCCTGCTCCCTCCTACCTCCTCCCCATCCCTCTGTGTTCCAGGCTCTGGATGTTCTAGAAGGCATATGCTCTGGGCAGTCTCCCCTCCCCCAACCTGCCCACACTTGACTAGCACCTTAGGTGGGTGATAGACCTGATTTGTTCTCACTCTGCTATGCTTATAGGGGCATGAGGCTCCCCTGGGCTGGGAGACCCAGCTTCTTGTCACCCTTGTCTAGATCTGGCCTCCTAGCTTCCAGCCAGTCTCTCCCAACCTATAGAGACCCAGAGCTGAACCACCTGTCATTTCACCTTGAAGCCCTTGAAAGTTCCTGGAACAAGTAGGCCCCTGAGCCTAGCATTCAGGACCCTGTGTGAACCCCTCCGACCTTTCGCTCTGACTGACCATGGTACCCTTCACTGTGTTCCTCTAGGTGCCTGTGATTCTGCCATGCTGGACCTCTGGATATTTCCCAGACAACCCCAGACTTTCCTTCTTGGTCACCCCCACCCCGAACACCCTTCCTTTTCCAGCCTAGTTCTTGAGACACCCCCTTGGGGAGCAGTTCCCACACCCTTGCTCTGACAGTAAGGACTTAGAGGTCTTTCTCTCCCTCCCCTGATTTACCAACAGGCTAATAGATGGTTGTTTAATGAATGGCTGTGAGGAGAACTACAGCCAGGTTATTGCCCCCACTGCACAGATGGGGAAACTAAGGCCCAGCAAGGTGCTCTTTCCCTGAACCTGTTATGGCCTGTGAGGACTCTTCCCCTGAAGACATAGAGCTGTATTCCCTTCAGCTGGGGCAGTTGTGCGTGTGGCTGAGGCCCCAAGACTACTGTCCCCTTTTCTCTTCTGCGCTTGGTTGAGGGCTTCCAGGAAGCTTCTGCCTGTTTTTAGCCCTGAATGTTGCCAGGCCTTTATCCCATGACTCTGTTCCAGTCATTCTCAGACTGTGGTCTTTGAGCTCTTAAACCCTGAGCAGGGATCCTGGCCAGCCCCGACCCTTCCCCAGGGCCACACCTGCCTGTAGGCATGACACACGGGCTGCTGTGTGCCTCTGGCCTGACACACCTGGCCCTGGGTGATTCTCATGTGGCTCGGGGTGGGTAGACAAAAGCCCTTCTCACCTGACCTGGGTCGGTGTGGGATGGTGGCATCAGCAGGGGTTTTGTGCTTTGAGGGCCTCAGTCCTTCCCTGAGCCTGTTGCTCACTGGGAACTTGGACTCATGGCACTAACAGAAGGCAGCCAAGAAGTAGTCCATGGCCATGAGAGGCTGTGATGGTTATCATCACTATTGCCAACCCCATCCTGTCTGCACAGCTCTAGGGCAGACACAGCCTGGAGAACAGAGGAAGCTGCAGCCGGAAGCAGGAATGGCTAGGACCTCACCCACTGTTGTGATACTGGCTGGGCTCTTCTGTCTTCATAGCCTACCCCTTCCCCACCCTCTTTGATCCCAAAGCCATATCGTGGCTGAAAGCACTGAACTTCAGGATTTGTCCATCCCAGCAATCTTGGGAAGCAGGGTGAGGGCACTCCCTCCCCCGCCTGACTGTGCCGTTTAAGAAGTGATGCACAAGAAGGGAAGTAGCATGCCCACGAGAGGGATAGAGAGCAACAGCTTGGGCTAGGCTTGGGTCAGTGGGTGGTAATGGCCAGCCGCTGGCACCCCTGATGCCTGAACACAAACACACATCCTGAGAGGCTTGTGGTGGGCCTGCTGCAGTTGAGGGCTCTCCGTGACCAGAGGCAGCTTCTAGGCTTGGTCGAGAAAAAGGGGTCAGAGGAAGGCTAGGTCCTTAGCCCTAGAGCCATCCCCTCCTGCTCCTGGAGGTCCTAGACACTAGGGATCAGATATAACTAGTGTTTGGCTGCAACTAGGTGCCACCTCCCCCCTTCTGGTGTTTGAAATCCCCCCATAACAGCAAAGACAAGGCCTGTGTCCCCCATTATCTCATCCCTATGGCTGGTAGTACCCGATGCCTTGCTAGTAAAATCACCTCCTCTGTGGCTGAGTTATCTGATTCATTCCTCAGGGCAGTTGCAGGGCTGGAGAGGGGGAGTAGAGAGTCTGAGGTCCCCCAGCCCAGGTCCCTGTCCAGCCCCCAGAGCCCTTGGCAGACCCTCTCCACCCAACAGGCATATTTGAGTGGATGTTGGAGTGCGTAGAACCCCCAAGTGCACGCACACAGCGTCGGTGTGTGTGGAGGGACGGATTTTCTCCCCGTCTCCATCCCTCTCTTCTGCCCCAGGAGTTCTGGAGGAGTCTCCAGGAGCCTTACAGGGCTCAGTTTCCAGTCTGACACACATGGTTTTACTGGGGCAGGGAACACCGGCGACCACATCCCCCCCTCCCCTCCTTCTGGACCCCCCCAGAGCTCTGGGTTTGGCTCTGAAACTCCATAATAAAGGGGCAGGGCCCGGCAGAGTTCCCTCACCAAAGGACCAGTGGCTCCCGCAGCCTGGAACCGTTTCCCTGCTGCCAGAGTCCCCGTCTGCCCCGCAACTCGCAGCCCCAGCCCTATGAGGGCTGCCCTCGCTGAGACCCTCGGGCGTCCCTGTCTGTGGGGCCGTCACACCGCCTCGTCTAGCTCCCCCGCGGCCGCGACTCCCACCTGGTGTGGAGAAGGAGCTCTCTCGATGTGCGGAGCCGGTGCGGGGCGGCGGACTGTTGGTCCGCTTGGGGCTCAGTGGGCGGGGCGGCGCGGGCCTTAGAAGGCAGAAGAATGCGCGCGGCGGGGCGGGGCGGGCTGTACGCTGGCGCAGCCTTATTTGGCCTTGACCCACTGGCTGGCGGCGGGGGCGTCTTCCCTGAGTAGGCAGGGGAGGTGATGCGGCGCAACGCTGGGACGGCTCGCTCCTGATTGTTAGGGGAGGGGGATTTATCTGGGCTGCCCCTTCCTCCCCAGTGAGGTAGGCAGAACACCTAGGGGCATTCTCCAGTTCTCAGGCCCTCCCCCCATCTTTCCCCCAAAGGCCTCCACTGCCTGGCCCATTCCCGTGGGAGGGCTTTCTTCCATTAGGCCAAGTATGGCTTTTTTCACCAGTCCAAAAGAAGGCATGTCAGATGGCTCCGCCATCCTCATGTGAAGGGTCATTCAGGTCCCTGCTGGCGTGGGGGCTCACGTGGGGCTTGGGTAGGAGGACTGTGCTAGGGACAGCCCACCTTGGCCAGATCACTGTCCTTTCCTGCTGGCGTCAGTTTCCCATAAAATGGGAGGGTGATGGTGAAGATTCAGGAAAAAAGAGTGGCCAGAAAGAGTCAAGTAGCACCCTGGGGGCTAGTGAGAGGGGCAGGGGCTGGGGGAGCCTGGGGCCTCCTCAGGGTGGCAGCACCCCTTACCCACTCTTGTTGACATTAGTCAGAAGAGGGAGTCAGAGAGGACAGACCCCTTCCCCCCACTCCCCCATTCTGCATCAGGTCCTGTCCATCACTTTGACCCTTGAAGGAACACCCTACCCACCTGGACTCCAGGCAGGCTTCCCTGTCCCTCCCCCACCCCCAGCCCACTGTGGAGCAGTGCAGACCTTCCAACACCCAGTTACTTACTGGTGTCAATACGAACTGACATTTTAGATGCAGGGCACTGTGTTGGGCGCTGGGGAAACAGCATTGCACTAAAGTAGTCACCCCGGGGAAGCAGTTTTTGTGAGGGAACTGTGATGAAGGAGTAGCTCCATGGCTTGGAGAGAGAAATGAGTTCCTTGAAGGAGAATAAAGCAGAGTTACTAAAGAGAGAGAGGAGGGTGCCTCCTGTGACACTGGGACAACCAGAAGTCATGCCCAGGGAGTGTTTGAGGCAGGTAGGGAGAGTTTGCCAACTCCTGGTCTAGGAGCAGCCAGAGGGGAGTGTGACTGGGGAGAAGGTTGGGAGATGAGCTCTAAGAAGCAGTGGGGACGTAGCCCGGGGCGCCTTGTAGGCCACCATGAGACATCAGAGTTCTGAACAGAAGGATGGCATGGTCTGGCTTATGTATTAACTGAATCCCTCTGGGTGAGACCAGTGAGGAGCTTTCCAGCAAGTGTTCAAACTAGTGTGGTAGCAGGGGGGCGGGCGAGAAGGGGTGGGGTTCTGGAAATATTCTGAAGTTGCATCCAATAGGATTTGCACATGGATTGGAATGTGTGTGAAAGAACAGAGTTGAGGTTGACTCCAAGGGTTTTGGTGTGAGTGGTGGGAGAGAGAGAGCTGCCACTTTCTAACATGGGTCTACTATGGAAGGAGTAGGTTTGAAGCGAGATCAGAGCTCTGTTTTGGACCTGTTAATTTTTTTTTTTAAAACAGTTAACTTTGAAATAATTTCAGACTTTGTATGGTACCTCTACCTTTATTCTAAGAGTTCACCCATACTCTCCAATTGTTGACATTTGGCTTTATTATATCCTCTTCTGTGTGTTTATGTGTATGTGTGGATATCTTGCCCCCGCCAACATCATTTGAGAGTAACTTGCATTCTTTATTACCTTTTTACCTGGAAATACTTCAGTGAGTATCTCCTGAAAAGGAGATTCTTTTCCAAATCCATAGTACATTTGTCAAAATCAGAAAAATTTTAACATTGATTTAATACTGTTACCTAATTTACAATCTATATTCAAATTTTGTCAGTGATCCCAATAATGTCCTTTACAGGAATTTTTTTCTGGTCCAGCAGTCAATCTAAGGTTATCATGTTTCTTTAATTTGTGTTTGGAGGGGGTGTAAAAAAAAACAACAACAAGAAAACATAAAAATTACCATTTAAGCATTTGAAATCTGTAGTTGGGGGGGCAGTAAGCACATTTCCATTGTTGTGCAGCCATCACCACAACCCAGGCGGCCTTCAATTGATTTTTGTGTATTGATCTTACTTCCAGGAACATTACTGAACTCATTTATTAACTAATAGTTTATTTATGGATATTTTAAGATTTTCTATATGAAAGATCATGTTATCTGCAAATAGAGATAGTTTAACCTCTTTCTTCTCAATCTGGGTTTCTTTTTTTAAAAAAAGATTTTATTTATTTATTTGACAGATCACAAGTAGGCAGAGAGGCAGGCAGAGAGCGAGGAGAGAGGAGGAAGCAGGCTCCCTGCTTAGCAGAGAGCCTGATGCGGGGCTCGATCCCAGGACCCTGGGATCATGACCTGAGCTGAAGGCAGAGGCTTTAACCCACTGAACCACCCGGGCACCCCTCAATCTGGGTTTCATTCATTCATTCATTCTGTTGCCTGGGCAACATTGCCCTCCAGTACATCAAATAGAAGTAGTAAAAGCAGGGGCACTTGGGTGGCTCAGTCAGTTGAATGTCCAAATCTTGATTTTGACTCAGGTCATGATCTCAGGGTTCTGGGATGGAGCCTCTTGTAGAGCCCCATGATGGGCTATGTTCAATGGGGAGTCTGCTTTGAGAGCCTCTCCCCCCTCCCCCTGCGCTGCCTCCCCTCTCTCCGCCTCTCCCTCCCACCCCCCTCCTGCATTTGCTTGCTGTCTTACGCATACCCTGTAATAAATAAATAAATCTTAAAAAAAAAAAAAAAGTAGTAGTAAAAGCAGACACCCTTGTCTTGCTCCTGAACGTATGGCGAAAGCTCACTCATTCATCATTAAATATGATAGTAGCTGTGGGTTTTTCTTGGATGCCCTTTATCAGCTTATAGAAGATCTATTCCTGGTTAAGTGTTTTTATTATGAAAGGATGTTGGGTTTTATCAAACACTTTTTATCCATCTATTGAGATGTCTTTAATCTCTCTCCTTTTTTTTTAAGATTTTTTTTATTTATTTGAGAGAAGGAGAGACAGAACACAAGCAGGGGGACAGAGGGAGGGGGAGAAGCAGACTCCATGCTGAGCTGGGAGCCGAAAGTGGGGCTCCCACCACCCGGAGATCATAACCTGAGCCAAAGGCAGACACTCAACCATCTGAGCCACCCAGGCGCCCCTCTTTAATCTCTCTTAACATGGAATTGTTAATTAGCTTTTGTTTTTCAAGACACTGACATTTTTGGAGAGTCCAGGCCAGTTACATGGTCCTTCCTCATGATTAGCTTCAAGTTATGGATTTTTTAAAAAATTATTTATTTGAGAGAGAGAGAGTGCATGGACAGGTGGACGCATGAGCAGGGGGAGGGGCAGAGGGAGAGAGAGAGAGAGGATTGGCTGTCCAGCAGACTCCCTGCTGAGTGCAGAGCCCAACTCCAGGCTGGATCTCATAACCCTGAGATCATGACATGAGCCAAAATCAAGAGTCTGATGCTCAACCAACTAAGCCACTCAGGCACTCCTCAGGTGGTGGATTTTTGACAGGAATATCACAGAAATGATGTACCTTTCTCAGTGTGTCTTAACAGAAGACATAGGACGTTATTTTTTTCCCTCACCAGCAATAATAACTTCACCATCTTTTTAAGGTTGTATCTGCTGGGTTATCCATCAGAAAGTTATAATTTTCCCCTTTTTTAATCCGTATTTCATGAGTAAGTAGTTTGTGGGGTGCTCCTTTGAGATCAAACATTCTGCTCCTCAGCAAACTTTCACCAACTTGTGACACCCACTGGTGATTTAGTTGTTGCTGGGACGGTTGCTTCGTGGTGACTTTCTGGCCCTTCTCACTTCCTTTTACTTCTGCTGGTTGGTGGACATGTTCATTTTGAGAGATAGAGATGTGAGTGGGAAGTGTGGAGTTCAAGGAAATTGGGGTTGCAGAGTCAGATGTGGGAGTCATCTGTCAGTCCATGGAAGGTTGGAGCCATAGCATTTGAGGCCCCCCAAAGGCCCATGTTTCCTGTTGGTCACAGGGCGTCACCAGGTTTGGGCTCTCTGCACACGTGCTAGAGATTAAACCCTGATGCTGGCTGGTCATTAGGGGACCATGGCCACCCCTGGACGCTGGAACTGGGGGCTCCTGTCTCATGGGAAGGTGGCTTCTGTAGGAGGAAAGGTCCCTGTTCCATTTAGAGCCTGTACTACTTAACGTGGCGTTTGAGGCCCTTCCTGTGCAGCAGCAGTCTCACACTTCAGCCTCTGTGCTTGCCTTTCTCGGCCTCAGCTTGGAGAACCCCTGTTCATCTTTTAGAGCCCAGCTCCAATACTGTCTTCTCTGTGAAGTCCCACCCCTCCTTCCCTCAGCAAGTTCACTTATTTAGGAAATAATACTTCCTTTTTTCCCCTAAACCTTTTGTTTTTATGTCATCTCTATACCTAATGTGGGGCTCGAACTTACCACCCCAAGATCAAGAGTCGCATGCTCCACAGGCTGAGCCAGCTGGGAAATAATAGTCTTGAAGCTCTCATCTGTGCTAGGCACTGAGGCTGGTTGAAAAACTTACTTCCTATTCTCTGGGAGCCCACCATCTCCTTGTGGAGACAGATACTCACATATAGCTGCATGGATAGGAGTATCACCACATCAGCTACTGCAGCAAAGACAGACGAGCCAAGTGGCTCTCATGCTCCAAGTCCAGAGCAGGGGTTTTTGCCCCAGCCTGGCCTGGCCCAGGGACTTTGGGAGCTGAGGAAGGGTAACGTTAACTGCATTGGTGGGGAGCTATGCTCCCTGTGCCAGGCCTGAGGTGAAGCTAGTGTGGGATCCCATGGGAGGTGTAGTGGGAGAGCTGGGCAGGGGCCTCTTGAGCCAAGGCGGGTAGGCTGGGTTTTCTTCTGCTGGCACCAGGCGGGCTGCAAAGGCTTCTGCGCAGAGGGTGACTTCTGGAGCTAATGGAATCAGGACTTCGTAAAGACCCTCTGGCTGCTGTGGGAGGTGCAGTGAGGCCCACATGGATTTTTCAGGTCAGCCAGATTCCAAAGCGCAGGGGACACAACTTCATTCTGTGTTTCTCTCAGAAACTCCACTCTAGGGCGCCTTGGTGGCTCAGGCCATTTATTCAGTGTCTGCCTTTGACTCAGGCTCCTTGCTCAGCGGGGAGCTGGCTTCTCCCTCTGCCTTTCACCCTGCTTGTGCTCTCCCACTCACTGCCTCTCCTCAAATAAATAAATAAAATCTTTAAAAAAAAAAAAAAAAAAAAAAAAGAAACTCCATTCCAGTGATGGTGGTGGGAACAACTTCTCCAACGGGCTGGGGATCAGCAGCAGCACTTTTACCTGTGCTGGCATCTACATGTTGCTAGCTGGCAGGCCACCTGGCAATGGCTTTGTCCTGCTGTCCTGGCCGGAAGGCCTCTGAACCCAGTGCTGCTCCTGGCTGCGGCCCGGCCTCCTCTCTCAGCTTAGGCCATGGGGTGGGGGAGATGCCAGGCTTGGGAACAACTAGGGACCCTGGGGCTCCTGCCCTAGGATGTGCCGCCCTGAGGGTGGTTCTCAGGGACCCAGGCTCAGCACCCAGACTCAGGCTCCCTTTGCCTCTCCCCCAGCACCCCACAGCCTGCAGTCTCTCCCTCCTGACTCCTTTCTGTCCCTTCAGAACCCAGCTTTGGAAATGCAGCTTCTCTGGGAAGCTGCTGTTGGTCTTTCCCTAAATAGTCAAATGCCTTCTTGATAGAAGTACAGAGAATGAGATATTATCTTAGTCATGTTCTGGCTCATACTGTTTTATACAAATCTAGTCATGAGAATACATACTTCTAGACCGTGCAACACTCTGCAAAATCCTTGGATACTTTTTTTCAAAAGGTTTTATTTATTTATTTGTGAGAGACAGTGACAGAGATAGCGAGAGGGGGGACAAGCAAGGAGGAGACGGAGAAGCAGGCCCCCACTCAGCAGAGAGCCCCATGTGGGACTTGATCCCAGGAGCTTGGGATCATGACCTGAGCCGAAGGCAGGCGCTTACCTGACCAAGCCACCCAGGTGACCCAAGATGCATGGATACTTAAAAGATGTCATGTCCCGAATGTCAGGTCTGGTTCAGTGCGACTACGAGACATAGTAACTAAGAGCAGTTTCTTTGTCTCCTTGCTGGAGACCCTGATCCAACTGCCAGGGCCACTTCCCTGCTGTGGCAGGAACACTCAGGCCCTGAGGGGTAGGCGTCCCCCCTCTTCCCCTGAGGCCTGTCAGGAATGGAGCTGGGCTGCTAGCTAGCTCGTGGCCCCCTCCAGCATTCACTCACCGCTCTGAGTGTCCGGCTCAGTGCCCAAGGCCACCTGCAACCTCTTCACTTACTCTTCTAGTCACCACTTCCCCTCAGGGCAGGGATAGGTCCAGGGAGTGCCAGCCCCCGGAGGGCCGCTCTGCTGCCCTGCTGTGCGCACCACTAACAGGATCCAGAGAGGAGGGCGGGAGGCTCTGAGCACAGGGGTCTGGCCTGAGGGAGGAGTGGAGCTCAGGAGGGACCAGGTGGAGCTAGGAGGCAGTTCTGTGCATCCCCTGAGCCCAAGGTCACTGCGTCTTAGCTGGGTGGTGGGACGAGGAAGGAAACCAGGTGTCTGCAGCCCAGCTTGGCCCGAAACTTCCTGAAAACCATGTTTGTACCACGGGGCATTACACTTGAACATCCTTCTGCCTGGAACGCACTCTCCCCAGACCTGCCATCCCCCAGAGCAGGTTGATACCCTTGGCGCCTCTGGACTGGAGCGGAGCGCTGCACCCCAGGCTGTGTGTGGGGCTGCTCTGTCGCTTCCTGCAGCCTCCTGGTGCTGCATCTTCTCTTCTGCCGCCTGCGGTAGACTTAAACTCACGTAGGCCTCATTCAGTGTCTTTCTCCTCCACCAGAGTGTGGTTCTGTGACCGCCTGCCAGGCGCGGGGCCGTTGGAGCAGGTGCTCGGGAGGTGTGTTGAGTGCACACAGCTATCGGGGAGGCCGCTGCTGAGGGGACAGAGTACTGGTCCTTGGTCTGCGGGGTGGGCCAGGGCAGCCCAGCTTGGCTTCCGTGGAGCAATGATGGGTTAAGTGCCTGTTTCTCACAGGAGGCAGGTTAAGGGGGATGTTACTCATTTGTAAGGTCAGGGAACCAAAGGCAGCTTTCTCACCCAGGGTTGTGAGCCGGGTTGTGCCAGAGCTGGAATGACGGTTTACACACAAGTCAGCCTGTCTCCAAAGAGCTGCTGTGTGGCAAGGGGTCTGGCTCAGTCTCCCGGGGTGTCCCCTCCATCCATCTCACCCCAGCCTGGCCCGGCCCGCTGTAAGAACACCATGAGCCCTTGGTACACGTTACCTCATTTATTCTCACAACATGCCTGTGAGGTAGGGAGGGGCAGGGGCTGTCCCCATTTTACAGAGGAGGAAGTTGAGGCACACAGAGGTCAAGTGACTTGCCCAAGGTCACAGACGGCGGCCAGGCTGGAATGGGGCCCCAGAGCAGGCTCTCTGTTTACTCGGGGCCCCTGCAGCGAGTGCCGGACATGAGGACATCTCCAATGCCATCGTCATCTCCATGGTAGAGAGAGCAGCCTTCGTGTGCTGGGCCTCCCCCTACCCCTCCCGCCCCTAACCTTGCAGGCCTGGGCCACTGCAGCTCAGGGCTGACGCCACCCTGGGAGTGGGGCTGGGCTTGGGGGGGGGGGGCCTGCGGGGTGGGAGAGAGAAGGATGATTGGGGTAAAAAAAAAAAAAAATAGAAAATTCAGAGGCAGGGCAGATGGGCCCACGGCAGGGGGCAGGTGGGAGACCAAAAAAAAGGCCGCTTACACACAAGGTATATATTTTTACACACACTTGTACACACACCTAGATATAGTACATGTAAAAATATATGCTATTCACACACCCGCCTCCTGCCAGGTGCCCCGAGAGCCAGCGGCGGCGCTGGGGGGCATGGGTGAGCAGATGGGCGTTTGTTAAATATACACTCTAAGGTCTATGTGCATATGTACACATACATACAGACACAGCCGCCTGCCCCTCAGGTGCTGTACACAGGCTCGGCCAGGGACAGGAGACCCCTGGAAAATGGGGTCCCTCTCTTGAGTGTCCCCTGCAAGTCACTCTGAGTCAGACATTTTACTGAAGGAAGAGGGGGCTGGAGAGAAGAAAGAGGCGGGAGTCTGGAGTATGGTAACGGTGGTTTTTATCTCATTGTCCCCCCCCAAAGCCCTGAACCCTCCTCCCCTTCTCGGAGACCCCCCCTCCCCCGTGCCTGGGGCTGCTGCTGCAGGGCCAGCGCCTGCGTGTGCGCATGAGCAAGTGGGAGCGCTGGGGCAGGGGCGCGGGTCTGGCTCTTCAGGCTGGCAGCTGCACGCAGGGCCCAGAGTTGGCAAGCCGGCCGCCACGATGGTGGCCCCAGGGTGAGCTCTAAAGGGAGAGGAGATGAACAGAAGAATGAAAACTGCAAGGTCAGAGCGGGGTAGCGGGAAGAGGAGGAAGGACATGGCAGGGACCCAAGGCTGTCCTCGGACTGTCCTCGTCTTGTAAACAAGCTAGTGCAAGTTCTCGTGAGATAGAACAAGTAAAAAGACCGCAGTCTGGAGGCTGGGCCAGGAGGTGCCGAGGTCCGTCTACCTAGCCCACGGTGGCCAACCAGAGGGGAAAAAAAAGTTGAGTTTTGTGTTTGTTGACTTTTTTTTGTATGAAGTCTTCATTAACCTAAAGCTGGGAGGGACCCAAAAAAGCCAAATTGTGAGCCCTTGTATGCGTCAATTGAAAGTTGGCTCAGGGTCTCTGGACAGAATAACCATCTTAAAGGTTGAGAAAATGGTGTTCCGTTCACATTTAGTTTGTGTGTTTGTTTTTTTTAATGACTTAAAATTGTTTGCTTCCCACTTCCTGGTCTCAGAGTCGGGTCTGGGCCTCAGGGACATAAATCTCGATGCTGTCCGCACTCTCCGTGGCTGAATTCTGCCGCACAGAAGCCGCTCGCTTGGCCGCCAGGAGTCTCTTGCGGGCCTCCTGACGCTGCTTGTCCCCGGCGTCGGAGGCCTTGTCGCGGCTCACTGCCGGCTTGGATTTAGCTGGCTTCTTTGGGACCGGAGGGGGTGGTTTCTTCTCTTCCTTTAGTGAGACAGTGAGGAGGGAAGAAAAATAAAATAAAGGTGCACCTTTTGTGGGGCGTTACCTCCCACTTGATGCTGGCAGCTGGAGCCTCCGCCCCAGCCTCCCCACATCAGGCACAAGCAACACACACGTGGAATCAGAAAGCCACAAGAAGCGATGATAGTGGGAATAGCACAAGGCATAGGAGCAAAATACAAGCTTAGGATTCTAGAATGTTCTAGCAGGAAGGGATGGACACACCACCTGTTCCCACCCCTGCTCTGAACCATGGGGAGCCTGAGTCACATGGCCTGAGCTGGGATTTAAATTCAGGACCTTGGACTCCCTGGGCACATTTCACAGGCTTTTTCAGGGGGTCAGAACTCACAGGGGCCATGGTTCAGTACCCAGTAACCACAGGGGGTCCCTGGGTGCCATGGTTTTACAGAAGGAAGCCGTACCTCATGGGAGAGGCTGGCCCCAGGAGGACTGATCTTCTGTCTCCAGAGTTCTGACAGCCATGTCTCTACCTGTGCTCAGGACTGTGGGCATCTGTCTCCTAGGAGCCCCCTTTCTGAACATGCAAGGTGGGATGGCATGCTTCAGGGGGCAGCCTCGACTACACAGAGCGAGCGGCATGCTGGACGAGAGCCAAGCATGGACCCTGCGCACTGATGGACGTGAGCCCCCAGCTCAAAGACGACACACGGAGAAGGGAGCCAAGCAGCACTGACCGATGTGGGCAGCGTTATTGCCGACCAGGAATTTGTCCCTGGACTTCCCCTCCGCACTGCTCCATGCTCACCTTCCTCTTCTCGGGGGTTTCCACCAGCTGCCAGCTGTTGGCCTTGAGGTGGTAGAGTTCATCAAACTTCATGCTGATGTCCTCGATGGACAGCTGTAGCAGGTCCCAGAACCCTGCCAGGTCCTGGGCTGTCGGACGTGGGTTTGCTTCAGGGTTCTGCAGAGGGAGATGGGGATCAGTGGGGCAAGCAAGGCAGACGCTTGTTCTGCACCCCACACCAAGTATGGTCTCGTGACCCTGCCAGCTCTGGTTAGGGTCCCTGGAGGCCTCATCTTGCTTCCCCCCCCAGTTCCCAACATCAGGATCTGTAGGAGGGAATGAAGGAAGTTCCTGGTCACTGCCAACCCTGTGATGGTGCAGATCTTTGGGAGAAAGAGAGCAGGACCTGTACATACATGGGACTGAGGCCTTGACCACCACTGTAGGACTATAGGGAGGAAGGCCCTCATGCTCCTAATGTATGTCAGGCTGATAGCTCTTCTCATTGTACAGAAGCTCCTGGCTGTGGTCTCACAGTGAGGCAGGAAGAAGCCAGGAGCACAGCCAGATGGGTGTATTTACAGAACCCACAGGGTTTCCGTCCCCCTAGTCTGTTCTCCAACAACACACTGCTCATGATGACTGACCCAGCCAATGCTACATCTCTGCAGGCCCTGGAGATAAACACTCGCCCTTATCCTCCAGCCCTAGGAGCATGCTGTCCGTGGCCTTGAGGAGTGAGGTGAGGCCTCCACAGGAAAAGCCACCCTCCTGATAGGGAAGGTCAGGGGGTGATAGGTCTCCAGTCCTCACCCGTCGTCTTAGAGCACGTTTAATACAAATGAGTCAGTGCTGATTTTTAAGTTTCATGTGGCTCCTTTCACATAGGCTTTGCTTTTCTATTTGAAGAGGCATTAGAAATTTGGAAGGCTCTTTTCCTTGTGCGAGGCATGGACATGTCACCAGCATCTTCTCTGTGTTAGGGAGGAGGGCACAGAGGCTTAGAGGGGCTAATCTGGCAGGAAGGCAAAGTCTGGAAGGCCCACGGTGGAGGAGGAAGAGTCACACTCACCAGGTTTTGCTCACAGAGGCCCCGGAACTGCTGGAATTTCTGGGACATCAGTAGCTGGGCACTGCCCACAGCACTGAGGACTTTTCCTAAGACTGAGAAAGAGAAGGTGGAGAGAGCACAGGGTTTGTTGGGGTAGAAGGCAGGATCAGGGCTTTTATCCCCTTGACCCCACTCAGGTTACCAATCATCATTTGGTGAATGGCATCTGGTCTTCATTTTACGCCCACTTTAATCTGCTCTTGTGAGAAATACAAACAATACAGATAAAGTGAGTCCCATGTCTTAGTTCCTACATATATTTTATGGCAATAGATTTGAAAATTGAGTTTAAATGGAAAAAATTTCCAGGAAAACCTAAATTATCTTAGAATCAGGAAGAAACAGAAAATCTTATTAGACCAAAGCTGTTTTAAAAAAAAAATTGAAGAGGTTAAAAATCTTCCCAGAAAAAGGAGCCAAGCTAAACTATGTAGTTTTACAGGTGATGTTTGATAAAACCTTTACAGAACAGAAAATCCCAGTATCATACATTGAGATTGTTCCAGAGAGTCCATAAACATAGGAAATGACACTGCTCATTTCAGGAGCCCTGAGAATAGATAGGACATGCCAAGTATAGACCACTTTCATTCTGAACACAAATGTGAAAGTCTCATCAAATATAAGCAAATAGAATCCAACAGGAGAGTTAGCCATGAAGGTCTCAGCCCAGGAATATAAGGCTGATCTTTCACTAATTGTGGTATAAAGACAGTAGGATTTCTCAGCTGCCGTAGAATCACCAAAGCAAAACAGAGTAAAGAGGAAATAGACATTGAACTCTCCTGTGACAGACCTTGTCAGCACTGGGTGTGAAGTGGGCTGGCTGCCTGGATTGAGATGTCAGTTTTGAGTTTTCCAAAGCAGCATCCCTAGAGGGGAAAAGCCAGTCATTTCTTACTTGAAATGAAAAGCTCTCTGCAGCAAGAGCTTTCCTGTGCCTGGTTCAGCACCAGGGGGTGGGGAGCTTTGCACTGTAAGGGGGGAGAAGACAAGGCTGAACACAACCCCCATCCCTGTGCTTTAGGAACTCCTGCCCACCTGGGACGCAGGCCTGGCCCCTCTCTCACACTGATCTACTTTATAAGACCTCATCAAGGAAGAATTTTGCCTTATTTAGAAAGTAATTAAAAAGGAGCTAAACAGTTTACAGGCACAGCAAATGGCACACGAACATTCACCAGATAGTTCTTCCTAGAAAATGGTGAAAAGCCATGAATATATCAAGCGGTCGTTCAAAGGCTGGGACTGAGGTGCTCTGAGAAGAAAATGAGACAGCGGAGCTCAGAGCTAGCATGAGAGAAAAATCAGGCCATCGAAGAAACCAGGGCCACTGTGGAACAGCACAAAGAATCCCCTCTCTCACACTGATCTACTTTATAAGACCTCATCAAGGAAGAATTTTGCCTTATTTAGAAAGTAATTAAAAAGGAGCTAAACAGTTTACAGGCACAGCAAATGGCACACGAACATTCACCAGATAGTTCTTCCTAGAAAATGGTGAAAAGCCATGAATATATCAAGCGGTCGTTCAAAGGCTGGGACTGAGGTGCTCTGAGAAGAAAATGAGACAGCGGAGCTCAGAGCTAGCATGAGAGAAAAATCAGGCCATCGAAGAAACCAGGGCCACTGTGGAACAGCACAAAGAAT